TGGTCATCATGGCTAAACTGTGGAGTTTGGAGTGGGGAGGGAGAGCCCAAGATGAGACCAGAAAGGAAGATGGGAGTCAGATCAAGGAAAATCTTATAGGAAATGCAAAATTTGAACTTTTCCGCAGGCAATGGGGAGGCAGTAGAGCAGGAATTTCTTAGCCTGCACTATTAATGGAGTTGACCATCTTTTTATATGTGTTAGCCATTTCAGTATCTACTGGATTGCTTATCTTTTTCTTATCAATTGGTAGGGCACTTTAAATAATCTGGATCTTAAAAATTTGCCTGCTTCTAGTGTTGCAAATATTTTTTCCCAAGCTGTCACTTATTTTCTATGCTTGCCTATATGTCTTTGCAATACAGAAAGTCTATAATTTCATATAGATACATGTATTGGTCATTCACTTTTGTGACTTTAAAGAATTAATTTTATATATTAAAAAAATCCCCCTCCATTCCAAATGTTAAAACTATTCTCTTGTCTAATTCTTTTATAGTTTTATTTTTATAGCTAGCTCTTTAATCTATCTTAGATTTATTTTTGTGTATAGTATAAGGTATAGATGTAACTTTTTTCCCCAATGTAAGAACCATCTTTCACAACACTATTTATTGTACAATCTATTCTTTCCCACAGTATGAAATGTCATCTTAATCACATTCTAACTATTCCAGATTTCCATGTGTATATTAATTTACATCTGTAAATATATATAAAATTCAAAAACACCAAAACCTAAATAGGAAAATGGTCCAAGGACATGAACAAGCAATTCATAGAAGATATATTTAGCTTATTTCTAACCTCAGTAGGAACTTAAAGTGCTGATTAAAATAATACAGTAGGCCGGGCGTGGTGGCTCACGCCTGTAATCCTAGCACTCTGGGAGGCTGAGGCGGGAGGATTGCTCAAGGTCAGGAATTCGAAACCAGCCTGAGCAAGAGTGAGACGTTGTCTCTACTAAAAATAGAAGGAAATTAATTGGCCAACTAATATATATATAGAAAAAATGAGCCGGGCATGGTGGCGCATGCCTGTAGTCCCAGCTACTCAGGAGGCTGAGACAGAAGGATCGTTTGAGCCCAGGAGTTCGAGGTTGCTGTGAGCTAGGCTGACGCCATGGCACTCACTCTAGCCTGGGCAACAAAGTGAGACTCTGTCTCAAAAAAAAAAAAAAAACAAAAAACAGAAAACAAAAAAAACCAAACCAAAACAAAACAAAAAAGTAATACAGTAAAATGGTTTATTTTTAAAATCAACAAAATTTACACTAGGGATTGAAAAAATAAACCAAAGCCCATAAAAGTATGTTTTAATGAACATTTTCATTCTCTGCTGATGAGAATGTAAATTGGTTACAATCTTTCCATCTTTAAAATTTTAATGCTTATCAACATAATAAATCATCCTTTAGCAGTGTACGCTAAAGAAACAATCAAAGATTCAGTCAAGAATTTATATAAATGTTGTTCATGACAGTGATATTTAAAACCAAGACAAATTTAAAGCAATGTAAATGTTCAACTATAGAGACTGGTTAAATTAATTATGGTGCATGCTTATGAGAGAATATTATGCACTTATTTAAAAGGATGCCTTCATAGTGTAATTTTTTAAACAGTTTATCAATAAAGAAAATGTTTTGGCATAAGACTCAATACACATTCATTAAACAATAAGTCTTGCCAAGGTAGTTTCATTTCTTTTTTCAAGAGGTAACTAAACTAATCTATATGTGAAATTCAACACATCTTAAAGGGTATATAGAGCTCCTAATATACAGGTATAGAGCTGCTGGTACATTTGGTGGGTTGTAGTTGCCCAGTGCTGAAATATAGAGGTAAATAAACTATAACCCCTGCCCTCAGAAAGCTCATAATCCAAAGATAGAGAGGAACCATCAAATGGGAAATTATAATACAATGTTATAAATGCAAGGAGTATTCAAACTCACCCTATAAAGGAGCATGGAGAATGAGTATGAAACTCAACCCAGGGGCATCAAGGAAGAATGACATAAAACTAGTATATCTGGATTTCTGAAAGATGCTTGAGAAGGACTCCCTCATTCTCTATATGGATCTGAATGGAAAATGCTGGAACGATAGCAAATCAATTTGGTAGGTCCATTGCATGACAGTACCTGATAATCAGTCTCTATTAGCATACCACATCATGCTGTACTTGAAGTTCCTGCTTTTAAAAAAAATGTTTTAAACGATTTGGATGAGGACATATAAAACATACTGTAAGCAATTACAAATGATTCAAAGATGGGAAGAATAGTTAACATAAAAGATGAGGGAATCAAGAGTCAAGAGATAGCTGGCAAGGCTGAAAATATGGACCTCACTGACAGGATGAACATTAACAAAAATGTAAAGTACCACATTTAATTCAAAGACTGGATTATCTTAGAATAAGTAGAAGTTCATATTTTTTTCTTCTTTTCTTTTTTTAAATTTCAGCATATTATGGGGGTACAAACGTTAAGGTTACATACATTGCCCTTGTCTCCCCTCTCTCCTCGAGTCCGAGCTTCAAGCGTGTCCATCCCCCAGACAGTGGGCATCACATTCACTATGTATGCATATACCCATCCCCTCCTCCCCCCTCCCACCTGCCCCACACCCAACAAATGTTTTTTTTCTTTTTCTTAACATTTTGGTTACATTTTATATCTTTGCCTCTCCCTAGCAAGGGTTAGAGGTATGCCCTTCCCCTCCACAATGCTCACCACATCCCTAAGATGTGGGACTACACCTCCAACCCTCGAATCCCTGATGAACACCACCACCCTTTGAGCATCATAGTGTTAATCAGTCAGTACCAATTTGATGGCGAGTATATGTGGAGACCATTATTCTGATCTCGTGTCACCGCACTTTGGATAATGGGCTTTAAACTCAATCCAGGATAATAGAAGCAGTGCTAGCTCACTGTCATTTCTTAGAATTGAGTAATATTCCATTGTAAACATATACCACATTTTAATTATCCACTCATGAATTGATGGACACTTGGGTTGTTTCCACATCCTTGCAATAGTGAATTGTGCTGCCATAAATATTTGAGAGCAGATGTCTTTATAATAGAATGTCTTATGCTCTTTTGGGTGGATGTCTAGTAGTGCTATTGCGGGATCAAATGGTATTTCTGTTTTTAGCTCTTTGAGGTATCTCCAAATTCTTTTCCACAGAGGTTGCACTAATCCACCAGCAGTGTAAGAGTGTTCCTATCTCTCCACATCCTTGCCAGCATTTGTTGCTTTGGAATTTCTTGATACAGGCCAATCTCACTGGGGTTAGATGATATCTCATTGTGGTTTTGATTTGCATTTCTCTAATGATTAGAGATGTTGAGCACTTTTTAATATGGTTGCTGGCCATTATTCTGTCTTCTTTAGAAGAGTTTCTGTTAATTTCCATTGCCCATTTCTTGATGGGGTTGTTTGATTTTTTCTTGTTAATTCTTTTGAGCTCTAGATACAGTCTTGTTATCAGACCTTTATCGGAAGTGTAGAGAGCAAATATTTTCTCCCATTCTGTAGGTTGTCTATTTGCTCTAATGATAGTTTCCTTGGCTGTGCAGAAGCTTTTTGATTTGATCAGGTCCCATTTGTCTATTTTTGTTGCTGCGGTGATTGCTTTGGGGGTCTTCTTCAAGAATTCTTTGCCTAGGCCAATGTCTGAGAGGGTTTTCCCAACCTCTTCTTCTAGGATTCTTAAGGTTTCATGGCTTAGGTTCAAATCTGTTATCCATTTTGAGTAGATTTTTGTGAGAGGTGAGAGGTAGGGATCCTGATTCATTCTTCTGCATGTAGCTATCCAGTTTTCCCAACACCGTTTATTGAAGAGAGATTCTTTTCCCCATTGTATATTTTTGTCTGCTTTATCAAAGATTAGGTTACCGTATGCAGATGGTTTCATTTCTGGAATCTCAGTCCTATTCCAAATATCGATGCTTCTGTTATTGTGCCATTCCCAGGCTGATTTAATTATTATTGCTTTAGTACAGCTTGAAGTCAGGAAGATTAATGCCTCCCAGTTTGTTCTTTTTATTTAAGATTGCTTTGGCTATACGAGGCTTTTTCTGGTTCCCAAAGTGCAGAATTATTTTTTCTAGATCTGTAAAGAATGCTGGTGGTACTTTGATGGGGATTGCATTAATTCTGTAGATGACTTTAGGTAATATTGACATTTTAACGATATTGATTCTACCAATTCATGAACAAAGTAGATTTTTCCATCTGTTTACATCTTCTACAATTTCTTTTTTTAGTGTTTCGTAGTTCTCCTTGTATAAGTCTTTTGCATAGAAATTCATATTTTTTCAAGAGCAAGGGGTTTTATTTGATTGCAAATTCAACATGATGTTAGGGGACACCAATGCATTTCTTTTTTTTTTTTTTTAAATAAAACTTTTTATTTGTTCAGAATGCTTGTTTTTAAAGTTAACTGAGGTTAAAAATGGTTTTCCAATGAATGTGTTAATATCCAAAAGTGTTAAATTCAATATTAAGAGCTTATAACAAAAATGAACCTGTAAACAGTCTTATTTGCTATCTGAATATATACACTATACAATGACATATTTTCTTTTTATCAGAGCATAGTCTCCCAATCAGACACAGAAATGCAAAAGTAACGTGTTATTTTCATCTTTCCACAGTCTAGATTTCCATTTCTAGAATTCATAAACTCAAGATTATTCATACAAATTTGGGGTATTTTTTCTTGTTCATGTCTGATGAAGAGCTGTTCTCTAAGACATTTTAATTTTATAATCATTCCTTTGAAATATGAGAAAGATATGTAATCTCCTGAGTTATATATGCAGCTGATACATTCTTTTACAGTTATTTTTTAAAATATCACAAATTATATATCCATATGTCCTTGCTATTCACATAATTCAATCAATATTCAAGTATATCTGTGCTTTGTGTGCTTACATTACTTTAGAACCTATTTTTTGCTTTTCAATAAAAGTATCTACAAAGATGTTGCAAATATTTAACAGATGAGGCAAAACAATCATTATGAAAATATAAACAGCTACTATAGATTTTTCGTCTTTCATTTTATGCATTTCCTGTCAACCATGTAATTTCCTGTTCTTCAGAGATACTGATGAATTTTTATCTCTGTAGTCACAACGCTGCTGCTTCCCCAAGCCGGTGTAGCAGTCAAGACATCGCGGGGTTTCTGAACACACGGCATTCTCTGCCGTATCAACTGCAGCGGTGAAAAATCTGATAGCGCTGGTGTTCGTCATTTCCAGTTATTTCAACTGCAGGACCACCTTATTAGCTGCTTCCAAGGAATTCATTAGCTTCTGCAGCTCTTTTTTACTCATTTCAACAGAATACGGTTTTACTTCACCATTTTCTTTTACATCTAGATGAAGATGTAAAAGTGGCATTTGTAATGCAGCAATCTTGTCACTAGAAAGTGCAAGCTTTAATTGCCAATCAAAATTCTGTAGTTGTGCAGAGGAAATATCAACTATTTCTCCTAACAGAGCCTGCTTGATCTCATCTTTCCTACTTTTCAAGCATTTCATGATCGCTTCTTGATGACATGAGTTCAACTGATTCAACTGCTGAAATATCTCTTCATCAGATAAATTTTTACCAACTACCGCTTTGAAAAATTTCGTAACATCTTCTAGAACACTCTTCCATTCTTTTGATTCCCAAATACTGTTATAATCCTGGTAGAGAGGATAAGCTCGGCCACAAATGCCATCAATTATTTTGTGAAGAAGCTGCAGGCCCAGCTCCGCCGGCAGCTTCTACAGCCGCCACAGCGGCGTCCCCTCTTCCGGCTCCATCCCTGCGCGCGCCAAGCCCGCGGCTGGGTCACGTGACGAGCCCGTGTCACGTGACGAGGCGCCGGTGTCTCCTGCGTAGCGGCGACTCGTCCACGTGACGCGCCTCGACACCAATGCATTTCTGTGCCTACATCACAGTGTTCTGCGCTAGCTGAACCACACCTGAAATAAGACTGATACTTCCCTTAAGGAAAGACTCTACCTTGTCAGGTCATAGTGAAAACAGAGGAGGGAATAGGGACTCTCCTGCATGAGAAAGAGAACATGAGCGTTATCCCCAAGTATTTGATGGATCACACTTATTCTGTATGGCAACATAGGGAAGACTTGGGAACATTAGAGGGGGATACATTTCTCCACATTGGAGGAAGCACTTATGAACACTTTAGGACAGGTAGTGCATCTAAATAATAACATTGCTAAATACTTACTCTGTGCTTTGGAATTTCTCATTTAACCTTCACTCAGTTTTATGAGGTCAATACTATTGTTACCCCCATATTATACACATAAAATAGATTTACTGAATTGAATTAAAATTCACTCAAGCTGCCCATAAATAAAATGGACTGCCCTCAAGGCAATAAGTATCAAGGTTGATGCAGAGGGCATGTAGCACTGCATCCCTCCCAATCTAACATTCTATAATTCCATGATCAGATGAACTCAAGATTATATGAGTTACAGTTCAGAAAGTATGTGAAAATTTGCTATATCACCATTTAAAAAGAAACAAGCAAGAAGAGTCTTTCTGTGCAGCCCCTGTCTTCCCAGCAGGGGCAATTAGTTATACCTTTCATAAGCAGGCCCTGCTCCATCAACTTCCTGAGACATCTTGCCCACTGTACTGAGTTAACTAGATGCCCAGCTCCAGGGCTGCTTGGTGGAGCCCAGATGCCCATGTATCTCCACACCTAAGTCTTCCTACTCTCTGCTATGGTAACCTCAGTTCAAATGCCATGGCTTCTGCCTCTGTTTCCCTGACTAGCCATCTTATTCTTTAGCTGAGACAGAAGCTCTACCTACCATATAATTGACATTCTTAGGCATTTACTATGCACTAGGTCTCATGTAGCCTTTCCAAATAAACCTATAATAGTATAATAGTAAATACTATTGTTATTCCCATTTTATAGATGTGGAAACTGAGGTTTAGCATGTCCCTGAAATGCCAAGACTACTACAGGCTGGACCCAGGATTCAGACCTAGATCTGTTGACTTACAGATCCATGTTCTTACCCATCATCCCCTGAACTAGTTCTCTCGTCTAATACCATCATATCTTGCTTAAGTCTTGTCATGCCTAGGGACATAAATATATTGATTACCTATGACTGTGGAGCCTCTACTCACAGGGATTCGGAATTCCCCACCACACAAATTGTCTCAGTGTTGTGCCCCACCAACTTAACTAGATGCCACTCTTGAGCTAGATGTGGGCCACCTTAATGTCCTGTCAAAGCCAAATTGGTTTCTTTTAAGCCCCTTTCCAAGGGTCCATACTGCTAGATTCCCACCATAAATTAATAAAGGTGATAAGGATCAAGGAAGGAAATAAAAAGTGTGAATCAAAAGTGAAACAGTCACCTTGAAATTTTTTATACCCTTCAAGCTCTTGAGAGATAATGTGTTGTCACAAGTAACTGGGAGAAATTAGGAGTAAAAGTTCATGCGAAGTTTGAAGGAAAGGAGGAAGATCCTCCAAGGGCATTGGTAGAAACAACAAAGATATAATAATATATTTTATGTAAGAGTCTATTGGAAAGAGGAAGCATATGGAAAAAGGCAATAGCAGATTTTTAAAAGCAGGTGGGAAAGTTTTTACTTTGTGAGGAAAGTATATGGAGATCCTAAGTTAGCTAGAGAAGAATTCCCATTCTGAGTATAACAAACATCTCAGTCCCATGAACCCTGGGCTTAGACCAAGGACTAACAACATTTAGTGGTCAGAGTTGTCTGGTAAAAGAGTTGGAGAAATAGGGAGAGAGGTTTAGTGGGCTTGCATCAGCATCAGACATGGTCACACATAAAGGAGCTGAATGTTTGAGCCCCAGAAAGACTCTATAGAGTGCGAGGAAGACCCCCAGCTCTCCTGCCTGTCCCCAAAATACTGTTATTCTGAGAATTTGCCAGTCCTGTACTGTAGGTATTCCCACACCTACACAAGAGCTTTAGGAGCTGAGGACAACTACCTGTACTGGGATGCTGGAAATGTGATAAAGGCAATGGCTAAAGGAAGTTCTCAGGAAACAGTTGGATCGGCCATGTTCTATGTGAGCAGCAAGAAAGAGTTCCCACTGTGTGTTTCCATCCAGAAGGCTGTAAAATCTCTAGAGAAGGTCTGTGAAGATATTGAAACCAGTCAGTGGAAAGACATTTACAAATTAATATAATCATTCAATTAAAATAACAAATGAGTCCCTTGTAAACTCATTATGATGGTATAAGCTTGTCGACCAGCTACATCCTTATTATAATTGTTATAATTACTGGCTCAGTGTAACTGTCATCAAACCCAGTAATATAAAGTGTTTGGCCTATTTCTTTAAAAATATATATTTGTTATAAATCCTTAAGCCTTACCCTCCTGTGACCAACAAGTTATCCATTACTAATAAAAGTTAAATACTAAGAAATATTAATTATTTACTTCTTATTATACATAATCCAAAGTTATTCCAATACTAATACTATTAGCACTGTAGCAGACACTTGTTAGTGCCCTACCCAAATCCCCTTGGATCTCTCCTCTATACACTAAAGGCTGCTTACTGTGAATATCTGTGACTCTCTACTTGAGAGTGTTTTGCTGGTGACCAGAGCATGCAGGGCCCTAGGCAAGGTAAAATGAAAGTTCAGAAGAATTTATGCCCCTGGGCAGTCCTCAATCAATGATGAATGGGAGGTAGAAGATAAATATCTCAGCTTCCTATCCCCTTGGTTGGGATAACTCTGAGGTGTGTCTTCTACACTAGCTTCTAGAGTTTCCCAACGGTTTCCCACAGTGGTAACTTGCTAGAATATACATACTTTGTTGGCTTCCCTCTTTTCTCTGTCTTATATCCCCAATCCTCAACCAGTGCTTTCTGGGATTCCCCCCAAAATTAATGATTAACACTCTAATCCTTGTCTCAGGGTTTACTTCTGGGGTAACCCAGGCTAAGATAATTACTAACTTTTTTTCTGACGTACCTTCTTGAGTGGGAGAGCCAATGGACTGTAAAGTAGACATTCATTACCTTGAATATATCCATGGGAGTATGATATATGTCAATTGTACAACAACAGAATAAAAGTTGAGAATTGTCATAAAACATGCACCTGAATGATTAACCATGACAAAAGTGGCTTCAAGAAGAGATTACAGGCAGGGTGCAGTGGGTCACACCTGTAATCCTAGCATTTTGGGAGTCCAAGGTGGGAGGATCGCTTGAGCCCAGGAGTTCAAGACCAGCCTGGGCAATAGGAGGATCCTGTCTCTACAAAAAATAATTTAAAATAAAACCTTAGCTGGGCATGGTGGTGCATGCTATTATCCAAGCTACTCAGGAGGCTGAGAGGCAGGAGGATTATTTGATCCCTGGAGTTTGAGGTTACAGTGAGCATGATTGCACCACTGCACTCCAGCCTGGGCAACAGAGCAAAACACTGTCTCAAAAAAACAGAAGAAGGAAAAAAGCAAAAAAAAAAAAGAAAAGAGAAAGAAGGAAAATAAGAAAGGAAAGGAGGAAGGAATGGAGGGAGGAAAGGAAAGAAAGAAAGAAAAGAAAAGAAAGAGGGGATTACAGCTCAGTAAAGGAAGGACTCCTGGAGAACACTGCCATATCTTATGATGTTTTCATTCCTAATCCTGGATTTAATGAATGTTCATTTGTGGAAAGAAGGTGATAATACCTCTTATTTTTGAGAGGCACCAGGTGTGAGCAGAGGGAGGCAAAGAAAAATTAAGTTTCCTTTTTTGTGTAAATACAGGAAAACTTTTTCTTTTCTTTTTCTGAGGCAGCCTAATCTGAACTTCTGGAGTGATGGAATAAGATCCTCCAAAAAATCTGCTTCTCATCAAAGCAAGGAGAACACTGGCAAATAACTGTCAAAATCATCTTTTTCAAGACTCTGGAAATTAAGGCTTACAACAATCTTAGGAATGTATATTCCAAAAAAATGGCTAAATCTTAATAAGAACAGGAAGTATTATGGCATTTTAATTTACCCTAATTCCATCATTCTCTCTCCAGCTTCACAGGAGCCTTTTAGCCAAACAGAACCACAACTATAGTGGCTGGAAAACTCAGCAACCTATCATTCACTGGAAGGGGCAAAACAGATTTGGAGTTCCTCAAAAGACCCAAGCCCAGAGAACTGTCACTGTTTAACCTGTCTGGCAGTTCACTAAAAAAGCTCCATTCTCAAGCTTCATCTTTGTTTAACCTGACTCAGAGCCTTCTCTGTACAAAACCCTGCTCTATGCAAATACCCTAAAGGGTATTTGTAAAAACAATAATTGACAATTGCTTAACATCACAGCTACCTGAGGTGGCATTACAGTTGAGGCTAACAAAAGGCTGACCAAAAAATGTAAAAGGAAAAAGAGAGAAATGAGATGTCCATAAGGGGATTTGAGGAGCTCCAACATATTCCAGGAAATCTAGAAGGCCATGTGAATGTGCTGGTCTGTGCATACGTCCAGGAAAGACCTCAAAGGCCCTAAATTCTTTCTCACCTGTAGTGGATCTTGAGACTCTACACAAGCACGAAGTGAAGGCTAAGGCAGAGGTGCAAAACTGCCTGCTGAAGCATTCAAAGTATATCATAACACATGTACAGAGCCCCTTAGTAAAGGCTGGAGACTTATTGGTTCAAGACACTTAACAAAATCTTCATTTCATACATAGCTGACCACTATGCTAATTAAGCAGAGATTTAAGTGGCCCCATACAACAAAGAATACAGATTTTATAGAATTAGTACAGGAAAGTTACTAAACACACTACAAATCAAT